TAAATATTATTATGGATAATTTTGAAAATTAAAATTTTTAATCATGCTTACACTACACCTCAATTCGGGATTTTGAAGACTGAGATGTTTAGATGGATTTTCAACCCCTCAAATAACTTTCAAAAACTCATACTTTATTTCAAACTCTCTTTCAAACGACTAAATAATCCCATTCTATCTTACTCTACTCTCCAAAGTTATCAAATAACCTCCATTCAAACAATCTGTTATGGTTTCTCTCCTCTTCTTTTCTCTCTATTCTATCTAACCTTGATTTTTGTTTGGGGCTACCGCTGTTAATCAGCCGTAGCCCCAACTTTTCATTTTTTTTCTTGCTCCTGATTTTTTATTCGTAAACTCATATTTATTTTCTTTTAATAGATCTATTTTTTCTTTGTTTTTTTTTTTTTTGTTATTATTGCTTTGTCTCCATATTTGAAGTTCTTTTTGTTACTAAAAGTTATGATATTTGATTTTATTTGGTTGGAGAATTTAGATATTGGTTTACAGATGTATATCTTCGATCAATGGAGCTCGGTACATCCATTGATGCTATTAACGCATAGTGGCATGAACTTATCCTTATACATCATATGCAACATGTTTTTGGAAAAGCAATCCAAGTATGAAAGATCCGGAGAAGTTATTTTATCGTCCAAATCAATTAAAGATCAATTGCTACTATAAAAATTTATATCGATCAATGCCATCTTCAAGTGGAAAAATCAAATATTGTTTCTTTTAATTTTAATCTTATTATTCGAAAGAATATAGATAATTCTTTTGATTTGTTAAAGGATCAACGAACTTTCTATTAATTATGATAGTAAGTTTTATGCCGATTTAATTGAGTATTTGTAATACTTGATTTTATTTAATAAATTATATTCCTCAAAAAAATTTTTAAATTAAAAATTTTGAAAAATCATTAATTTAATTATAATGATTATATATATATATATATATATATTTTTCTATTAATTATGAATAGTAAAGTTTTATGCCGATTTAATTGAGTATGTGTTAATACCTTGATTTTAATTTTATAAAAATTATAATTCCTAAAAAAAATTTTTTAAATTTAAAATTTTGAAAAAATCAATTAATTTAATTAATAATGATTAATATAATATATATATATATATATATATATATATATATTGTGTAAACCACTGGTATCCAGACCTATTGCCGGAGACTGCTTATTACCAGGGACCGCCTGATCCAGGCTCGGGGCACAGTTTGCGTTGCTAACTAAGCCACAACCTGTAGGTATAATGATTAAATGTTGGCTCAATCAGTGAGTTAGTTTTAAAAAGTTAGAAATATTAGTATTACTAGAATATACTCATAATATGCACGGTTAAAAAAAATTAAAATAAAGTAAAACTGAGAGAATATATATATAATTTATAGATTTCTAAATGAAATTTTTTATTATGCTATTAAAAAATATTATAAAGATATATCAATAGTAAAAAGAAAATATAGCGTGAATTTTGATTATTAAAATAAAAATTAATAGATAGGCATGTGTTGAGGATTATGGTTTGAAAATATTGAAATTTATAGAGATAAATAAAAAAAAAAGCAAAATGAAAGGTGTAAAATTCATTAATTTGATTTATTTTAAAAATTTGATTTATTTTAAAATTAATGTAAAAATAATTAACTTGTAATTTCATTAAAATCCATGAATAGATAATTTATTTTAAATAAATAATTAAGAGTTGTATAAATTTTCAACTTATCATATTAATGATACTATAAATAATCAATTATATTTAACATAATTTAATTTAATAAAAAAATTTTAAAATTTTAAAATAAAATAATAACTGCCCAAATCATTAAAATTTATAAATTATGCAATTCATTTATATCATTAAAAGTTATATAAATTGTTATTTAATTATATAAATTGTTATTTAACACACTATTAGTTATCTAACGTTATATTAATCAATTACATTTAACACGATTTAATTCAATCATAAATTAATTTATTTTCAAATAAATATAAAAAAAATAATTAAGTCATCTACATGTCATTAATTTGGAACCCTACGTGGCGATATCAAGAAAAATCATGTTAAATAATCTCTAAGAAAGGAGACAAAAAAAAAAAAAAGTTTTGAGTAAAAACTACTAACTCATTAGTGGAGATGGTTGAAATATTGAAAATTTTGAACTTAAAAAAATGAATAATATATTTAAAAACAAGGACCAATATACCTTTACCAAGAATACAAAAAAATATAGTGATACAACTTATATAAAGTATTTCTAAAAAGGCCTAAGTGTTTCTTGAGAGTAAATAATTTAAACTTTTAAAAAAGTGCATTACTACACCATTTTTTTCTTAAACAAATGGAAACGTTTAGATAGATAATGCTAAAGACACATTAACGGTTTTTAAATGAAACGTTCGTTACTTCATAAATTTAAGTGTAAACATTTGTTACAAAGCAATATATTAATTGAATAGTTCATTGTTATTAAACTTTATCATTTTTTTACAAACTAATAATTAATAATAATTACTTAAGCGATTAATTCATTAAATAACCAAATCAACCAAACTAAGAACACCAATTCAAAATAAATCCATATCAAACCAATATATCAATATATTAAATAATCAAATCAAATAAAAAACAGTAACTCAAAATAAATCCAAACTAAACCAATACATTAATACATTGAATAATCAAATCAAATCAAAATATTAATTCAAAATAAATTGAAACCAAACCAAACCAAACCTAGCCAATACATCAATACATTAAATACTCAAATCAAACCATGCTAGTAGAAGTCTAATCGGAGGAATATGCCACATGTCAAATTAAATGCCAAAGGATATACGACATATCAAAACTTTCTAGAGAAAAAATGCTTGCTTTGCATATATATTAGCATCCTCATGCCATGCACGGTTAAAAAAAAGTTTAAAAAAAAGTAAAATTGAGAATATATATATATTTTATAGAATTTTGAATGAAGTTTTTTTATTATGCTATCAAAAAATATCATAAAGTTATATCAATAGTAAAAAAAAAATACAGCATGATTTTTGATTATTAAAGTAAAAATTAGTAGATATACATGTGTTCAGAAATATGGATTGAAAATATTGAAATTTATCGAGATAAATAAAAAAGTAAAATGAAAGGCGTTAACATTCATTAATTTGATTTATTTTAAAATTAATTTTAAAATTAATGTAAAAATAATGAACTCGCTAGTTTATCATTCTCGCTATTTCATTAAAATTCATGAATAAATAATTTATTTTAAATAATTAAAAGTGGTAGAGATCTTCAACTTATCATATTATTAATATTATAATGTAGTGGAAAATCAACATAATCTCATCCAAGAAATTAAGTATTTCTTATTTTATAACTTGGGGTATTAGTATTTTAATTAAATTTAATATATTATCATAATGGGACGTAACTAATAGATATTATTAGGATAAAGACATTATCAAAAATTATAAAACAACTTGTCTTCTTACAATTGATGTCATTACTCTTTATCATCTTACAACCATGCTAAATAATTGTGGTCCTCCTCATACTTGGTAATTTTAGAGGCTTACCCTTGGCTTTCATATAATGAAAACTGTTCTACTTATATCTATATATTATTATATATATATATTATATATATATATTTTTTTTTTTTTTGAGTATTGGACAATTTTTTTTTTTTTGAGTATTGGAAAATGGAGAATTTGAATCTGGATCTATAGCGAGATCGTAAATGCACTTAGCACTATGTTATAACTTAACATGCAGAATTAAAAAGATTATTTGGTTGGTAATCTAAAGTTGAGATTGAAAATTAGGAAAATAAGTGGGCTTTCTATTAAGGTTTAATTGACACATAAGCTTAACAATAATCATTAATGGGCTTAGGTTATATTATGTAAGCCCAACTATATTTGTAAACCTACAGCTGAATGTTGATTTTTGGCGAAAAGTGAAAAAAAGATACAAAAACGGACGACTTAAGGAAAAAAAACAAAACAAAAAAAAAAAAAAAAGCAAATAAAGAGCAACAGAAAAACACAAGAAAAAAAAGGCAAAGAGGAACATCAGCCCATGCATAGAAAGTAGCAACATACCTAGGAAGAAACGAATCAATATCCTTTACATGAATTCTGTGATTTAATATTCATTTGTTATTTTTCTTTTTCATCTTAGATTTCTACTGCAACTTTTATAATTTTCTTTATGTCATTTCTTTTTCTATTTGTAAATTAATAATTTGACTATGAGTATTGATTTGTACATTGCAATGCTAAAGTGGCTAAGAAATCTGAATTAAGAGATAATCCCTTTCAAACGATTTTAGATGAAATTTTATGAAAAGTATATTTTAATTAATTAAAAAAATTAAATTTTATCTTCAAACTTGAATTAAGATTCTCGATTTACTTTATCAATAATGCAAGATCAAATAATATATAAAATAAATTATATATATATATATATATATATCATTCTAATTAAAACATATAAAAATACTATTGAATGGATATATTAGAAAATTTTCAAATAATTTAAAGTTATTTATTAGAAGTCTTATTATTTCCACCGTTATATATTAATAATAAAAAGATGACAATAAGTAATCATATATTCTAATTAAAACATATAAAAATCTAATTGAATGGATATATTAGAAATTTCAAATTAATTTAAAGTTATTATTAGAAGTCTTATTATTTCCACGTTTATATATAATATAAAAAGATGACAATAAGTAATCATATTATATAGATTATAGATTTTCACTGTTTTAATATATTTTATAAAAAATAATTAAAGGGACAATATATTTTTCCTTTTTATATTTCTTAAACAAGGAAATAGTTTTCTTCAAAAAAAGAAAAAAAAAAGAAGGAAATAGTCACAAGAACATAACCATAGTGGCATGGACGTACCTCGGGTCAACCCGGACAATGTCTGTCTATATTATGGATACAAGGTTTGCCATGTAACAACGTTTCCCTTTGGAAGTCCCTAACTAAAAACTAAAATCAGAAATTAAGATTGAAAACCCTCTTCCAGACAAGCTTTCCAGTCCAAAGCCCCTTCCCTCCTTCGCTTGCTCGCTCGCTCCAATCTATTCTTCTCCTCTCTGCAAAAATATACAAATCCCATCATTTTTCTTTTTCACCAAACCCCTTTCTTTCTTTTTATCCATATATACATATATCTATGCCTTTGTAGCTCCACCATTGCCAATTGAAATGCTTTAGAAACAGAGCAGACTCCTGGAGTTTCTTGTTATGGACTATGAATTTTCAGATAGTAGCGGTATGTTTTCTTTTTCTATTCTTCAATTCTTTATTTATTCTAGCAGCATATGCAAGAAAAGTTTGTTTCTTGATAACTGATTCTTTGTGATAGTTAGGATTGGTTTTTGAGGCTTATGGTTTTTTTGGGTTGGAATTAATTGGCCATTTTCGGTTTTGAATAGTTGTTGATTGGACTGGGAGCTTTTTTTATTCATGTGAATGTATTTTTTCTTTGTGGATGTATATTAGGGTTTTGGGTTTTGAATGGCAAATATGGAGTTATGGACTTTTCAGTTTGAAAATAACAAGTCATTTTGAAGTCTTAAGTTTGGATATTGAGCGACATTGATTTGTGGTTTCACTTGCTGTTTTACTTGTGCTGCAATTCTGGATTTGCATGTTTTAAATTATTTATCATGATTTGTCTTGTGTATTGATAATAGTTTTATCAAAAAGGAAAAGAGAAAGCTTTTCTCTTGAAAATCTTATTACAATGCATTGCTACTTTATTTGTTCATCTAACAGATGTTAATACAGTATTATCTTATATGGCACGAAGCTACTGCTCTTAAATTTTATCATCTGTTAGGTTTAAGCATGTTTTAATAATGAAGAAGAGTAATAGGTGATGAAGTCCCTTTTTAGGTGTACGGTGTTCTCATTGATCTATGCAAATGCCATCGTTCAACTGGCTATGTTGTAAGGGGTCATTGTATATGGTTGAAATTGCGTTGAAACATGAAAATGTAGAGCAACATATTCTCTTGGAGGAAATTAACATGAATACAATTTGGAGCTTGGATGGAGGAATGTACTTTTGTATGGGACGGGAAATAAACATGAGGGCAGGTTGATTTGGAAGTTCAAACATGTGAATGATTGAAGTAAAATGAGAAAGAGAAGGGTGAGCTTCAATGGGATCAGTTTGATAATTTGATCATGTACTTCGAATTTGGAAATAAAAGAAATAAAATCTGGAAGCTTATCATTGGTGTGATTATTAGATAAACTCCTCTATTTTATGTATTCGTTTATTTCCTTCAAATGAAGTGAAAATTTTGATAATACAATTGATAAAATAAAAGATACTGTAAGGAAAAGACAATATACTAAATTCGTTTGTTACCTGAGCACCTTTTTTTTTTCAAAATTTCAGTATGGCTTTTTACTAGCATGTCCATGTCCTTATGTATTTTAGCAGCAACTAGATTGTCTTATATGCCACTTTTTCAGCGTTCTTTTATTTCTTTTGGTGTTTAATCCTATGGTTACAAAAACCATAATTTTTTTCGACTGTTGAATTCTATAGAAGTGTTTGAAAGATCACGTCTCTTTATATGGCATGATGAATCATACATTTACTAAGATTCTGTTTAAATATTTTGCAATTGCAATTACTGAAAAATGCTTACAGTTGCTTGTTGTCTTTCTTTTGGAAAATAAAAGCATTTTAGTTTTTTGTAATCCCAATCTATGTTTAAAACACACCATATTTGGAAGTAAAGTTTATGAAGCCTAAAGAAAGCACTTCTATGTTCATGCATTTCTTTGTGTCTCTAATTGATGCCAAAATATGATGTGAAGCTTAGAATATCAATAAATCTTAAAAGTATGGACATCTAATGGGTCAGTTGTGACTAATATAGCCACCTCTGAAAATGAGGAAGGCGGAAGGCACAAACAAGTGCATATCTTTTAGATACTCGTTCTAAATTTACTTTCGTTTACATTGCTACTTGTCACGAAATCTCCAAAAACTGCAGGTACTGACGACGATCTACCTCCGTCACATCAAAGTACAATTCCAAAGGGGGAAAGAATTGTAGGAAACGGAAGATCTGCTGTAGGTTCTGCCACATACTCTAGATTGCATACTGACATGGAGGCTCAAATTCATCAGCTTGAACAAGAAGCTTACAGTGCTGTTTTGCGTGCTTTTAAGGCTCAATCTGATGCCATTTCTTGGGTATTTTTTTCTCTTTCTTTTAAAATTTAAATATTGCTTATTGGTTGTCATAGTTAAATGCTTCGCCGTCTCTCTTATGCAGGAGAAGGAGGGTTTAATAACAGAACTCAGGAAAGAGCTCAGAGTATCAGATGATCAACACAGAGAGCTTCTGACTAGAGTTAATGGGGATGAGATTATTAAAAGGATCAGGTTCAGATCTTTTTGAAACTGCTAGAATGTGAGAATCAATAACAATGTAAAAATGGCTTATGCATTGGGAAAAAATTACAGGGAGTGGAGACAGGCAGGTGGACACCAAGCTGCCAGGAGCAGTGCATCACAGCCAGTTCATGATATCGTACCTAGTCCTAGTATTTCAGGGTCGCGCAAAAAACAAAAGACATCTCAAACGGTATTGTCTCTAATATTTTATGTGGTGTCAATTAGCTTTCAGATCTCTGTCAATATATCTGTCTCTATGCACTATGATATGGAGCTGCAAATTGATGGCCGACTGAAAGCCTAAAGTTTAATTTTGGCTTGACCTTCTCTTGGATCTCCTATTTCTTCCCCTTCCTTTTGCAGGGTCAACCGATGCCTGCTTTATCTTCTATGAAGTACATGCAGTATCCTTCTACAGGTCCTGCTGGAAATCATCATTATGTCAGCCGTAGTTCTTCTGGTAACCTTGGAGCAAATGAACCTGCTGAAGCAACAACTTCTAATCCATTAATTGGAAGGAAAGTGTGGACGAGATGGCCTGAGGATAACAACTTTTATGAGGCTGTGATAACTGATTATAACCCTGCTGAGGTATGTTTAAGGATTAAACGGTGGACATGATAGTTCTTTTAAGACCCATTAGAGAACGAGGGATATAGATTTAAGGCGCTGAGTTTGTGAAAGATGACCCATTTAAGAACAATAAAGGAGGGAAGTGAGAAAAAGAAAAAGGGGGGGGGGGGGCAAGCAATGTGCTACATTGTATCAGTTGCTTCTTAAAGAATCCCTCTTAGAGATACGACTCAGGGATTATAGATTTAGTTGCCGCTGAGATTCTGTCGATAAGATGTACCCATTTTCAGCAACAGACATTAGCTAACGAGATAGCGGAAGTGAGATTGAATAAGAGGGAGAATATTTCACCGCGTGATTGAGGGGGGAAGGGACAGAAGAGAGGGCAAGACCAAGCTTAACTTCGGAGACATTGAGGACGTACTATTGTACTGGATATCTGGTTTCTATGTACGCCAATTTTTACTCTCCTGTTTATCTATGTCCACATTGTATAATATATCTAAGTAAACAGTGACTGTGACATACAGCTGTAGGTTGAGGGAATTCAATCTTGCTTGATCGCTATATATGTGACACATGCGCTACATACTTTCATTGTGTCTTTCAGATCAATAGTATCCTGCCTCTTCCATTCGCGGTTTAGATTATCACACTGTATGTCTGTATGTACTGGAGGTTCATGAAGCTCTGAATTCAGAGTAGTTCTACTTTTCATGTGTGGGCACCTTCACCTTCATTATGAATAATTTTTATAGTGTTTCAACTATATATCTAGGTCGCTCTAGATCAAATCATATCCTTCCCTGTAATAGATTCGGTTCTTCCTCAACCCCAACTTTCGTCTCGTTACTACCTATTTAGATACCATGTCTATATATCATAGCTAATGTATACTATGCTGAAATATCGTAAGAATTCTCAGTGCCCCCAAGTCCGATTGATGTTTGGATTAATTCTATAGGGCACTTGGCATGACTATTTTAGTCATGGGGTTTACATGAACAAGCATAAAACGCGAACATGGAATGGGTTATTCTTCTACAAAGAGGAGTAACTTGCAGGTAGATGCATTTTTAGACATCGAGGCTAATACTGAATAGTATTCCTGTTTTGAGATTTGTTTTCATGAACAATAACCACGATGACTACGTGTTACTATTTGCTGTCTCGTAAACAACATCATTGACAAAATTTAGTGCATCAGTGGTCACCTATGATATATATACACATACTAATACAATTACTTAACGTCGGCAAGGTTGATTTTTCATCTGCTCAGATAACTTTGCCATTCATATATATTAAAACTTCTCGAAGCATAGTTGAAGGTTCGGCCATGCAAATGAGGCGGTCTGATTATGGGGCCATATCGATAATCTTGTCGATTTAGCTCAGCCTGTGGTACGATGTTCTAGAACAGTGCTTTTTGGAAGGCATGCATTTGAGCGATCTTAATATGACGTTATCATTAATGCGTTAAAGTATAGCAACAAGTCGAATGGCATATTCTTTATTGGGGGGGGGGGGGGCAAGCAAGTAACTTCCTGGACTTTGTTATTCTGGTTTCTATGTCCAATTTTTATTCTGTTTTCTATGTCCAATTTTTATTCTGTAACAGGCTTCAAGTTGGAGGATTCAATAGCTAAAGCCAAGAAGTTCAGGGCTTAGATATAGTTTTTCCTACCTTTAATTACTACTTGTTCTGTTGTTCTGAGTCCATGGTTAATCATTGTTCTCATTCATGTGAGCCTTCACCTAAATATTTTTTATACTTTTCTAAGTTGTCAATCTATCCTTCCCTGTAATGTTCTTTTTATGTTGACTATTTAGCACCATGTTTAATATATGCTTTTATCATGTGAATTCTGATTCAGTCCCAGTCACTTGATTTTGTTAATTTATAGGGCCGGCATGCTCTAGTCTATGATATACATACAGAAAAAGAGACATGGGAATGGGTTAATCTCAAAGAGGTAAATTGATGATTTTTGACATGAGCTAATATATTCATTTTGGTTTTTTTCATTATAACAATTGTTACTTTTGTGCTGTAACAACTTGAAAAATTTGTGCATAGGCACTATTGATATTTAAATTAAATTAATATAAGTGGCAAGGTTGTTTCATATGCTCAGATAACTTCCATTATATTATTAAAACTTCAGAGCTGTGAATCGGCCATGCAAATGAGGTTGTTAGGGCCCCATGTAATCTTGTGATTTAGCTCATTGGACGGTTAGAACAGTGTCATTTGGAGGAATGTTGACTTTTGCCTTTATTAATCAGTTTAAGATAGAAAATCAATGCATTTCTTTTCTAGATTCATGATTTTGTCAAGTTCTACTGAAGCTTGAATATTAATTTACTAATTTTGCTCCATTTTATATCAGAAGCACCATTTTATTTTGGACTGAACTTCTGTTTTTAATGATGGTTTGTTTCAGATAATGTCTTACACCAAAACTAGATTCCATTATTGGGCTCTTCTCTGAAAGAACAAATAATAAAGATGAATAAGAAATGAAAATAGAACAACAAAACCAGTACAGTACAGGAATATAAGAATCAAAACATGAGGCAATTGGAAGGGATTAATCAAAGAAAAACTGAATTTACTAATAGATATTAAAGGAAAAGTGAAATTATTATCTTTTAACCATTCTTAGGAGTATGCCTGATCACATTTACAATTACATAAATAGGGGGTCAATGAACATTAGCAACCATTCATAGATCTTCTGCAGGGACCAACTTTGTTCTGTATCTGAATAGTTTGTGCAGTATAAACATGGATAATGATATTTGTTTTGAAATAATAATTTCGTTGTGTTGATTGCAGAACTATATTTTTATTATTTTTTCCTGTAAAATTCGTTAGATGCTATACAGAGATCCAACTTGGCCATTGGTCTTGAACAACTTTGTTCATAGTTTTGTTTGGGGAAGGATTGTTGGAAGTCGATATGATAAAAAAGAATGCCGATGATCTGAAAAGAACATCATAAATAAATTTGTAACTTTAAAATGACCAAACAGATCACAGATTTATTTCAAAACTTAAACCCTGAGGTTGGATTCCAGTGTTTAGAAATGGCTGGTGAGTGGTGAATGATAAAGCACGGTCCAGCGATAGGTTCTTGGTGGGTGATTGATGCATGGCAGAATTAGCATTGCTGAAGAAGTCTCAACTAATAGCATTATATGTTGCCTCTAGGAAGCTTACTCTTTTGCTATGCAAGTCATAGTGGCTGTTTGTCTTTGACTGTCTAACTTTGCAAGATGGAAGGAGTAGCAACAGGTAGTAGAATAACCAAATGATGCCTAAATTATATTATCATATGACACCAGCTTTTACTAACCATATGGGCTTTTGGAAGCAAATATGTGTCAAGTTGCTGAACTGGATTGGATGTGCATATATTGCTGCACTGGACCAATCTCTTAAGGATAAATGTGCAATTTGGCCCTTGAACTTTTACTAGATGTCCAATTTTTTGTAGAATTAACTTTTAGACCAATTTAGGAAATGAACTTTGAGTTCATTATCAATTCATCCCATTTTGGGCAAAAAACGACAACTATTAAGTTTTCCACTTTCAAAATAATAAAATATTCGAAAATTCAGAAATAAAAGAAGTGAAAATTAAAATTCCTTTAATTCTTCTCCGTTTTCAGCAAGAGGATTGAGTTCTTTTTATTTTTATTTTCTGAATTTTTAAATATTTTAAATGTAGAAACTTTTTTTTTGGCTAAGAATGGTTTAAATTGATTTTAAACTTTAAGTTTATGTCCTCTATTGGTCCAAAAGTTAATTTTGGGCCAAATGGGACATCTAGTGGAAGTTCATGAGCCAACTGAGCATTTTTCCTTCTCTTAATTGCCTATTTTCGCCTTTGCATCATACATTAGCTTGCTTTATCTATATAAGGCTCCCGATTGTTTCTTGTCTTTTTCCCCCAGGTAAAATCATTTTAAAGAGGAAAATGTTTGTATCCTTCTCTTTACAGATATCTCCAGAGGATATCCAATGGGAAGGTGAGGATCCAGGAATTTCTCTTCGTAGTGTTCATAGTGGGCCAGGCCGTGGAATGAGGAAATCCTCAAGCCATGGTGGTTATCCTAGTTTTGGAAGAGGGAGGGGATCCATAAGGGGTCAATCCAGGATTCCGCCAACCCAGAATGGTTTTGCAATGAAAGTTGCCAATGAAATTGAATTGTTCAACACAGTTGCACTAGTTCAGGAGGTATGCATGATTCTGTGGAATTGGTTTCACATGACATGTTGTCAGCTTGTTCATTTTTGTTTCTGAAATGTTCATGTAACAGGTGGAGAGGGTTTTTGCTTTGAGCCATCCTGATCCCCTTGAGCTTGAGAAGGCAAAAAAGATGCTAAGAGTAAGACCATTGTCACACAGTCATTTCATTTCTCTATTAGCTGCTTGTTGATTACTTGCTTTACTGTTTTGCATGATGCAGGAGCATGAACAGGCACTAGTTGAAGCAATTGCGAGGCTTGCTGATGCATCTGATGGTGAAAGTGGTAATGAACACATGCATATGTGGAGTACCTGTGCATCTGGTTGTCTTAGAGATCACAATTACCTGTTATAATGATCCTGGTTTGAGAAAAATTTTGTTAGCCTGTTTATTAACCCAAATTTCATTCATGATCTCACATCACTGTTCTGAATTTTCTTTAGCATTACATTTTGATGATTGTAATGCGAATTTGGGTGGACCTTTTTTTTTTGACTTATGACACAGTATTCATATAGTTGAAAAACAAGTCTAAGGTTATAGCTAAATTACTAATACGCCAATAAGGCAGGATACTAGGAAAAAATTGAGTAGGCAGTTAAAAAGCTACCAGCAGATCCAATCAGGATTAGCTTTTTTCCTGATTCAGTTAACGTTAATCTCTTTAAGTTTCTTCCTTTTCTGTCTTTCAAATCAGGTGAACACCAATTCTTGCATGAGCAAGCGATGGAACGGGAATAGAGTTTGATAAGAAGAATTTGGCAGAAAAGCATTAGTGGTTGTTGAAGGGTTCATGGTTGTCGGAGTGCTGATTGAATGTCATCAATTGCATCAACCAAGCAAGAACTGACATTTTTTTCCCTTTACTTTTTCTAATTTCTAATTCCTTTTCTGGTTGGATTTGTACTTCTGATTCATTCAATCAAAAGTTTACTTGTAACATATAATAGATGGCCTAACTTTTTATGCACACTTGGAGAAACAGCCACTTCTTCCTGTAGGGGCACTATAAACTTTTGTAGACTCTTAATTTTTTCGATCCGAGTAAATTGTTTCATTTTTGAGTTTGACGCTATTGTACAACTATGCATTGCAGCAGATGGTATATAACAATATAATGAGTTTACTTTGTCAATGAAATGGCTGCTTTTTCTGACGTTTTTGTTTAGAACATTTATTAACACAACTATGCATTTTTTTTTTTTAAGTCATCAATTATAATTACAATTCATTTGACAACGTTTTCAGCTGACGAAACGTTTTTCTGTACAACGAGATCAAGCAAAGCAATGCTCTCTAATTGTGATTTCCACTAAAACTAAAGCATTGTCTTCTAATTTTTTGAGAAAACAGTTTCAATCTCAATCCAAACAGGACTGGAATTTTACATCATGCATTTTGGATTCCAAATTAGCTTCCAATTTCAATCCAAGAATTGGAGAACTGTTGACATATTTTTTCTGATATGAACCTGTTGATCTCTATCCACCTATAGTCTCTTCAATGATGCAAGAAAACGAAAAATAACATCTGCAATTCGAGCATCATAAGTATTTCCTTCAATTTCAAAATGGCTAACTCCAAAAATAAGATGGGCTTCCACTCTCCCAGCAGCTGATAATAGTTTTTTCTCTAACTGTTCTACACTTGTAAACTGATCGTTTGTGCCCATTACAAAAAGTTTCGGTTTTGGAGACTGTAAAATTGCGTTTTGATGCCTTCCAAACAAAAATGAGGCAGCCAATCCAAATGGGTACCCAATACCTGCATATCCAATCACTTCCTCTACCTTATCAACTGCAGAACCAGCAATTGGAGCTCCTGCATATCCAATCCAAATTCATACCATTTCCGAAAGGTTCATTTCAAATTACTTTTACCATGTCAATTTTGTTAATCTTTATATATATATATATATATATACATATATGTCAATCTGCAAATATATTTCAAACACCAGAAGCCGTTTACGTAGAGATTAGGGTTTCAGAACCAAGCATACCTGCAGAGGAACCCACCAACAAAATCTTGTTGGAAGGAAAATTTTGGGAGACCCATTTGCAAACAGAAACGACATCTTCAATTTCAGAAAAGCCAGTGAGAGAACACCTGCCTGTGGACCTTCCAGCACCTCTCATGTCAAAAGTCATGGCAATGAAGCCTTTAATGGATAATCTCAATGCAAGTCCTTGCATAAGAGTTTGACATCCACCAAGCTTTGAATATGGGTGCACCAGCACTATTACAGTGGCTGAGCTGCCGTTTACGGTGGTTTCTTGGGGTGGCTTGAAGATTCTTGCTTGGAGAATTACTCCATCTGTTGTTGAAATCATGCATGTTTCCATTGCATTCCTTGGTGCCATAATATATAATATATAAAATATAATAATAAACAAAATAATAATGAATAAGATGTTGTGTTGATTAAGAGTCTTGGGAAGAGACTAATAAGATCAGGGTTTAAATTGCAAAGAATTAGGTTTGTTAATGTTAAGAAAATGTTATTTTAGGAGAAATGGTAGTTTCAATTGGCTATTTTTTAATGGGGTTTATTAGATTATTAATTATTTAATTACAATTGCAAACCATTTTGACAAGGAAAGTATAACTTACATGGGATCTTAAAAATGGAAAATGCAGATGTTAAATTGGAAACTAATTGATGAAACTGAACTTTATTATTATTATTATTATTTTGGTCCAAAAGGAAACTAATAGCTAGCTTCAATGAAAATCTCCAAAAAAATAATGAATGAAAATGGAAAATATGCCAATGCTGAGTTGTTCTCTACAGCATTTCATTGCTTACCAAAAACATGCTAGCATTCCATTGCCACACAATTTGAGAGTAAGTTTGCTCCATCTTAATAATTAGGTCTTGAATTTTGAAATCAAATCAAATTAGTACTATTTCTTTTTTTGTAAAGATTATTTATTATTTAATTTATTAATCCTAATTGATGTCCCTCATTTTTAAATATTATAAAAGGATATTTTAAAAAAAATTAAATAAAAAAATATAATTTTTTTATATTAATTAATTTTTTTATCTACGTGGGACGGAGAAGTAATATTTAAAAGAAAAGAGCAATGCCACCCGTTTGCTATTGGCACAACATTCCATCATTATTATTTTTTATATCATTTATCCAAAAATTACAGAAAATAAAAAATAAAAATCCAGTTGCGCCATGAAAAATAGAGAGAAACAGAGTCGACACTGTATAGCGAGGGAAAACGACTCTTCAAATTATCCATGGTAGGGTTTTACAATCTTAGGGTATTTCCAGCTTTCTTAAACCTAGTTTCTGGTAAAATCCTAATCTTCTTTGAATTTTTCCAATTTTATTCCATTAACAAATCCCTTTCACTCTCCCTGTCTTTCCTGTTTCTTTGCTTGTCTCTGAAGTTTCTACAATATCCATGACCCGACCCGCGAAGCGCGAACGGGGTACTGTTACTGCTAGTAGGACAACAGGATCCAATAATGGTAGAGCAGAATTTGTGAGTTTATCAGACGGTCCAGCGTCTGCCGGACGTGCAGCTCTTCGATCACGGTACCTCGCCGTGAAGAACCTCATTAATGGTATTTTTCTCTTTTTCATTTTGGGTTTCATATGATCCAATTGTTTTTAACTGAGCTAGTTATTTGCATTAAAACCAAAAGACAATTCGTATTCGTAATTGTATTTGTCTTTGTGTGTGTTTTGAATTCTTTGTAATATATATGTATTTGAAATCTTGTGTAGGTGAAAGAGAGGATATTGGAAAATTTGATTCGGATAAGTTCAAGTCCGTCTTTCATGAAGTGCAAAGCTTGCACCAACAAGGTATTCATATGATTGGCAAGGCTGTTTAAATTGTGTTAATTACTATATTTGTAGTTTCTTTGACATTGAGATCAAAGATTGATGTATTCATTTTGTTGCTTTTCTCTTATAAATGAATTCCATTTTTCAACTCTTTATTCCCGTTAAATTTAAGAAATGAATTCCTTTTTCAAGTCATGAAGCAGTTCTATTGTCTGGTAGTTATTGTTGATTCTACTTTGGGAATATACAGAATTGGTAATACGGCTGTGTAATTAGAGATCAATGAGGCTGTTGTGATGGGCAGAAGAGATGATCAAGTTGTTTGGTGGTGTTAATGGCATGTGCAATGAAGTTAAACTGGTGGCAAAATCTAGGGAAGTGGTGTTGGTGTGTTCTCGCGGTCTAGTGCTAGTCGTAGTGGCTTCACAATTGTTTTGTAATTCTGCTTTTATCAAAATCTTTATCCATATCATGCCAGTAAGGATTTGACACAGATGCATTCGCATAAAGAAAGAAGTTTTCTTGAAGACTTTTGTGTTCTAAATACATAATTGTCGAACCATCTTTGTAAAAATATATCTTTTTATGTTCGTACTGCCTTCATATTTATTGCTCTGATTAATTGGTTTGTGATTCCTGAAAAATAGTGAGTGTATTTTATTATATCTATTTACTTAATATGCCACATTTGTAGGCTTCTGTTTTCATTGCATTTTTTTTTCCTTTTCTTTCCTTCTTCTTTTTTTATTTTTTTATTTTTAATGAGGGTAGTTGAGTATGATCTGACTAATTGTTTCTTTTATCCCCCCTCTATACGAATTTCAGTACAGAAACCAAGAGAACAAATTGTTGATGCAGAGGCTCTGTTTGGAATCACAAACTCATTATTGGTGTCTGTCAAGGCGCATGGCAGTGATGGAATAACTGCCTCCGATTTTGTAAGTTGCCTCCTTAAAGACTTTGGGCAACAAGGTGGGCCTGGCAGTTGCGCAGAAGCTGTTAGGGACATAGTCTGGAACAAGATTGGAGCTGCAGCATCTCATGTATTCAGGACTGGTCCAGGCTGCTGCACCATGTAATAGCTGAAGAATTTATTCTTTTGTTTTGTTTCTTCCCAGTATTATTTTTGTTTTGTAAATTTTAATTTGTTATAGATTAGTCTTGGTTCTCCTTTAGGATTGGGCCTATGGATGCTGAATTAAAAACGCGGAAGACTGTTGTTAGAAAACATGAGAAACCAACTACGAGTGCTCAGCCTGAAGAGGTAAGAAACTTCTAATCAAACTACACCCTTTATTTCATCTCACAACTCACAAGAATAAATGGTGGGAATACTTGTTATTCCTGAAGATGTGTTTTCATAATGTAACTTGTGTTCTATTCAGGTAAAACCATTACCCTTTTGCTTGTGCATTTGAAACCAGTATCCATTATGACAGCACCGTTAGTTAAATTAGAATGTAAATAAAGTTGATTGCTTTAACAAAAGAATAGAAAGTCCAATTCTTGTTTCAGTAATCAGGCGAAATCTGAAACTGCTTATGTCCTAGTCATTGAGGATTCCCTTTTGCACTCTCATGGTTATTGATCTACACTACAATAAATGTGTGTATTGAGTTTCATATTTCATAAATCCGCTTTACTTGTGAAATTGAGCACTTGTTGAGCCTTAATATAAATTTGTGCAGGTTGGTGGAAATCTGGGAGAAAAAAGAAGAGATACAGATTTAAATATGGCAACTATGTTTAACATTTTAAAGAATAGAAAAATCGTGAAGCTTGAAAATTTAGTTTTGAATAGAAACTCATTTGCGCAGACTGTGGAGAATTTGTTTACCTTGTCATTTCTAGTTAAAGATGGCCGGGCTGAGATAAAAGTGAATGAGAATGGCTGGCATCTAGTTTGTAAGATCCTTAAAATGCTAAACTCCAATTACCTTTTCAAGCTCACGTTCAATTCTATTGGCTGCTCTTCTCGATTTTTAACTATTGTTCATAAATTTTCTTTGCGTTCAGCTCCAAGGAATGCTGCTTCAGCCATGGCAGTTGCCTCAGGGGAGGTTGTATACAGGCACTTTGTCTTCAGATTGGACTTCAAGGATTGGCAGGTATTTGGATGCTGATTTGATAAACTACACTCAAATGTTGGCAATATCTGGGAATATCTCGTCATTTGTTTATGATTTTTAATTCAGTAAAAGGCTTTTCTAACCTTAGGATGGGTCACTAACACCATATTTTGGCTTAAAGCTTAGCAGCAAAAATAAAATAATATATTGGTGCTTCTAAACTTCTTGATCCGACGACTCTGAACTTTTTTATTTTCTGATTTCTATATTTGAAAAGAGTCGCTAGTTCATCGTTAGTATGTGGTTTTCAAATATTATCCTGCTTTTCCTTATAACACGTGCCAGTGTGAAATTTGCAGTTGATGGCATCTTCTGTTGGTCTAGGGGAGGAGGTGATGCCAAATAGGACTCAAATGAGCCTTTCATGTAATAGTCAGCAAGATCCAATGTCTATAGGATCTGAAGCAGGACCTACCACACCAATTCGGAAGTTGTCCAGGAACCGTGGTTTTATTTTACAGGAAGAGACAATTGCAGAAAAACCTGAGATAGACACTTAAGTTTTGGAGGAGACAATTGCAGAAGACACATCACCTGAGAAAAACAATACTCTGACAAGCACAACTGTTAGTCGGAAAGGAAAGCGCAAGGCACAGTGACATTGGTGGTGGATTAAGTAGAAAATTAGGGTTTGCCTAGTTAGTTACAATCAGTTAGATCTATACATGCCGAGAATCATACTACTTGATTAGTTTTATCATAGCAATTAAATTTGCTCCTATTCGTTCTCCCCACATTTATTTGGGGTTGTCTGGTAATAGAAACTCTGAATGACATTCATAAATTTGTTGCTACACCATATCTGATCCGAACGCTAAAAGAATAATTTGTGAATATTTCTTTTGCATAGCTTGGCGTTAAAAAAACATCTTATATGCAGAGATTATCAGAAGCAGCTGGTAAAATGTGAATGTCTATTATCTACTGCAGTGTTTAATTTAGAAAATTACATGCCTACCAAACATGGTTATGGTTGACAAGCATGACAGCACGAAACCATGCCCACTAAAATAACACAGATTATCCTCTCAGAAAAGGGACTACAATAAGCTATTCCCCGTGACATGGCATGGATTAAATGAAAAGAGTATATATATAAAAAAAAGGTTACAACATTTATTTAAATTGAAAAATATTTGGAGATCCACTAAACAAGACTGTTGTAAACTCAACCTGATTTCTAGTTATCCTTAGGAATGTCAAGGTTCGCGAATATTGGGCTGTCAACTCCCACACCCATTGCATTTAGACCATTGTCAACATAGACAACAGAACCAGTGATAGCTGAAGCCAAAGGTGAAGCCAGGAAGGCAGCTGCGTTCCCCACCTCATCTGTTTCAATGCACTAGCAGCTTAGAAAAGTTCAATCAAAGAACAGAGCATAGAGCCATGCATGTAAATTGATCTAGTAATTCAGTTGGGGGTAGAAAACGACAAGCAATAGAATAGATCTTTATGAAAAAAAGATAAATTTTCAGCTTATAAAAAAGACAAAATTTTGCTTTCAAAAACTGATCAAAACTCTCGTACTTCCATAGATACCAACCAATACTTCTTCCCCTTTCTATTTGTTTTCGGTGAGCACACTGTAACAGGTAGTTTACTCACCTGCAGATAGTTCCTTCTGTAGAGGTGCATTCGCCACTGAGTACTCAATCATCATATCGATAAAGCCAATTGCCTTGGCAGCACGGCTTCTCAATGGGCCTGAAAATTTTACAAAGCATGAAAATATAAGTACGCATACAAGTTGCGGGAGAACTGGTTAAAACGAAAAGAGCTTAGACAGATTTGGAGTAAGATATGTGGATTTTAGCTTTGTCTACCATTTCAAGCAATGGAATTAAGTTTTTGGTCTAACATTTGGAAACTATTACTAATCGTTCCATTCAGTCTCTTCATATGGCTTTTACAGCAAATTAGTTTACAATTGTTGCGAACAGAAATGCAAATAGTGCAAGTGAAATTGTCAAATCTGGAAAATAAATTCTGACCAACATAGGTTGTTTTCCTCTCTGTACAATGGAGTGAACTATCCTTACATTCTGAAACTATATAATTGCATCAGTGCAACAGAGCAAGGTATCAGTTCCCAACAAGATTAACTGATGGGCAGATTCCTGATTACTCTGTATGGACTTAACACATCCTAGCCTCCAACAAACCAAGTATGGCAGCCATTTAACATGTAGGTGGCTGCTTCCATCAATATAGCCAATGCCAGGATGTTTTGATTAATGTGTAAATTATAATTTGCCAAGAATGAAATTATTTCCTTTTCTGGAACATATATGCTATAACGGGTAAAATGGTGAATTAAACCAAGTCAGGGTGGGGGTTTGGAGATGAAAAAGAATTTATGCAAACAATCTTTGATCACATACATGCAGCAGATATTACAATGACAGATCTCTGCATCTTAAGTTTGAAATCCAGAAATATCAATGACTTGATAGCAAGGACCGATATGACCAGGAAAAAAAAAAAAAGTCCCTAGTTTCGGCTAATAAGAAAAACCCATTTGAACGCAAAGTAACTAATATACCTGCAGATATTGTGTTTACTCTGATTTTGTACTTTCTTCCAGCTTCAAAGGCCATAACCTGAATCAGTTCCAGAAAACAAAGTTTAGAAATTTTATAAATGGATGATACTATATGGTGGATTAATAAGACAGTGTATGTTAAACAAACAAAAACTCACTCGAGTGTCACTCTCCAGAGCAGCCTTTGCTGAACTCATGCCTCCACCATACCTATGCATACAGTAATATTTGAATTTTTTAAAAAAAATAAAAAATAAAAAACATAACAGAAGTAGTGAGAGATTGAAGCAATCCCAAAACTGCCATACCCTGGAATGATCCTTTCGGAGGCTATGTAGGTTAGAGAAAGCGCAGAACCACCTGCAATATCAACAACAAACTTCAAGTCCTATCTGCTCTCTCTGGCAGAGCCAGGGATTCTTTTTTAATACACAATCTAAGTTTTCAGAAGTAAAATGAAGTTAAAAAAGTCATGATAGTGATATAAATCATATATAAAGGGAAAGAATATTGGATAATGATCGTACCAGGATTCATTATCGGAAGAAAATGCTTCAATAAGGAAACATATGAGTAACTTGATGCGGATATAGCTGCAAGGTACCCATACCTTGATGTCTCCAGAAGAGGTTTGCTAACCTGAGCAAGTTGAATACTCAGTACAAAAAAATCTAGAAAGGCAGCACAAAAAGAAAACATCCATGATGCTGCACCTCTGGCCCATTAGCAAGTGAATGCACAAGGATGTCAATGCTCCCAAAATCCTCCTTCACTGATTCGACAAGCTCCTGCAAAACAATATTAGATATTACCTGTCAGTTGCTTTAGCCCAGTTTTTAACCCGCTATGCAACTTTGGCAGAAAATCAACTTAAAACATAAGCCATTCAGCCAAATAACAGAGGAAGAGATGGATGCATCTCAAGGCTGACAAGTGATCCTGATATGTCTAGGAAGTGTGTCCATATAAAACTGAAAGTGAACTGCACCCCTATCCCTAAGCAAAAAGTTTATGCCTCTTGAACTTAATATGCAATGCTGACCCTCTAATTCATGTCATTTGCTAAATCATGTGCAGGAGAAGAAGAATAGCATAAAGAAATTCTAACTTGTATTGTTGTCAGTTGTAATTTATCATGAAACCACCCATGCACTAGTAATTAGATAGTGTTAAGAGGCTCAGTAGGAATGCGATCTGTTGTTATAGCACATGGAAAATAGCTGAAATAGTAATCGATTGGGATCCAGAACATTCACATATGAAAGTTATATGTAATTTCACATCTTATCTCGATTATATATTGTTTGTGCATGTTGATTCGTGAATGAACAAAGGTGATATCAGGAATGATTATCACGTAGCAGCAACGGTCCTAAAAAGTTACAAAAGAAATACGATCTCATTTGAATGCAAATCACAACTGTCTAATCAACTGATGCATCAGAAAAAGCAAAGAGTCCATTTTATCGTGACAATAATGGTACCTGAACAGTCCATTTTGAGGCTCCTGCATAGCGTTTGTTTGTTTTTACCTACACAAATCCACAAAGAATAATATAACCAATAACATAATGCAATTTTACAGTCCACTCCATAAAATAGTTGAAACATTATTACATCGTCAGGAACATCCTCAGGACTGTCATAAACTGCATCCATTGGATAAACTTTGGTAATTTCCATTAAGGAACCATCTGGCAATCTGAAAATAAATTAGAATATCCATTAAGCAGAGTAATGGTAACAGAGCATCAAAACTCAAATATTTAATCATCTTCATGAAATTGAAGGAATGCGAAACATGTCCTTACACGCGTGATTCATCGAATTTTCCACGACGTAGACTGCTTTCAAATATGTTCAGTGCCTGGAAAATGAGATTTTTCATAAAAAAAACTGTACACCTGTTTTCTTAAGTTAAGAATCTCAACTACCATAAGGGACTTAAGTTGGATCAATTTACATACAGGCACCCATGTACCAACAATAATCTCAGCACCTGCAGCAGCAAGGGATTTTGCAATTGCCCAACCATATCCATTATCATCAGCTACACCAGCAATGAACGCTCTCTTACCTGCTAAGATTGTCCCATTGTTAGGCATGTCAAGAATCAAATTGAACGCATAAGTGATCGTTAAAAGACAAAAACCAATGCTCAATTCTTGAACAATAAACCAGTAATTTTTCATTCCAACATTCTTTAAAGACATGCACAGTTAACAGTATTATTTTGTGTTGCCTTTAGATCTTCCTTTCTTTCCTGCCGTATTGAAATAATCCATACCTTTTCACACAGATTTTCAATAACAGCTCCTCAATCAGATAAATGACTGATGATTGACAGCAGCCTTTCAGAAAAACTTAAAAATGGAACTACATATCAGCCAACTTACAGTTCTTTTACTAGGCACTCATTTGTTATCAATTTAACTTCCCTGCCTCACTAATATGTCAGAAAACAATTTCGTTGGTTTTTTTTATCCCGTAGTTCAGATCTCTGCAACATTTATTTACATAATTTTTTTATTTTGTTTAGATTTATAGGAATGTATTTCTTGATAATAAAAAATGAGTCATTTGTTACAAGCTGAAAATTGAAATCATGCGATGCTTTCTTTCCCTGTACCAATTACTATTGTGACATTATTTTCACAAGAGTGCTGATTCTCCCAGAAAACAAATCTAATTTCAAACTATAAGTATTTATTTAGCAGCATTAAGTCTGCATCTTGTTCAGAATCAAGTCAGTCCCTCGGATATAGACTTGATGAAACTTGGTTTATCTTTTCAGACTTTAACAATCTATCGCACTTGAAAATTTGTGATGAAATAGAACTCTTACGACTTAGAAGCATAGACAAATACTTCCGAATAAAAAAAATACACACTAGTAAAACCTGCCAAAGCTTGCCGCATACCACAATAGGTCAACTTGGGAATTAACCTCAGAAGATATTCCAATCAATTTCACGTTTCTTTTTAATATTTATTTTGTACCACATATTTCTGAATCAAGTATCATACTTCTGAAGGGGACAAATGCAGATAGTGTAATTGTTCAACACTATAAAATAAGTGTAAATAAAGATGCATAACCTCTTAAATCAACAGGCAGTCCTGGCAGGGGCTTGTTCTCATTTGCTGCAGACATTGCTCTTGTAACAACCCTTTTAAGTCGCACAGGCGCTGAAGTAGCACTCTGTAAGAATGGCTGCCTTGATGAGATGTGAGAGGAGCTTTTAAGCCTAGTCCAAGATGCCTCTTTGGACTCGGTACTGAAAGTAGCTGTTGTTGACATAAATACTTTATGCGTAGAAGATAGGCAAGGATTGATTGTTGCCATGTATGTGCTAGGAGTTGCGGCCGTAGCCATATTTCTTAGTGTCAAATTTTAATGTCTGCAAGATTTGCAAATATGTATACATAAACAAAGAGGAACATAATTGCACCTATTATATAACGATAAAACTTGTTACATATACCCCAAGATTAAGTAACTTGTCATGAATACCTCAAAAAAAAAAAAAAAAAAAAAGGAACATAATTGCACGCTATTAATATAATACCGATAAAACTTGTTACATATACCGCCAAATTAAGTAATTGTCAATCAATACCTCAAAAAAAAAAAAAAAAAATGTCAATTTAAGAAAGGGAGAAAAAAGGCAAAGCTGATACAATTTAATCGCATGACTGCATATCCATGAAAGCCAAAAAAAAAAAAAAAAAAAAAAATGTCATTAAGAAAGGGAGAAAAAGGCAAAGCTGATACAATTTATCGCATGACTGCATTACCATGAAAGCCAATACATTTAAAATCATTAACATTGCCAGGTACAAATCACAAACGAATTCTATGCTGTTTACGACCAATACAAATTTCACCACCAGATGACAAGCCAAAAATTACTTTATCTAACAGAGACCAAAATGAAGAATTTTAATCAGTGGCACAATTTACCACCCAAAATTTACAATATGCACCGAAAAAGACCAATAATAATTTTCCAAAATTAAAATTGTTTATAATAAAGAATAGAATTTAGCCATTAAGCAGGAAACTTGAAGATCTTTTCCCAATTTTTTGAGCAGAGAAAATTACATGCAAAACATTTTATGTCAAAGTTAATTATCCTGATTTCAACTCACAATGCAATTAAAAATTAAAATCTTACATAGGATTAGTACAATAACAATATCTATTGTAACACTACACTCATAGCAAATATCCAGATACAAATCAAACCCAGCTAACATTTCATCATTTCTGCAAGCGAACATTTAAAAGATCTCGTTAAAAACTACTAATCAGAAAATGGGTTCAGCAAAATATAGAACCAGTAGCATTTACTAATATGCAAATTGACAGTAGAAGATTAACACGAAATGCAGCTAAATGATAAGATCAAAACTCAAGAACTCTAATAATGAGACACATAAAAATGACATATACTTTGAAATTTTTGCACTTACTGAAGTAGAATTAAAGCAAGATATGGAAACCCGCCTAATAGGATCCCAAGATTTGAGCTTTGGAAGAAGGGGTGCCTTTGGAGGAGAAAATATGCATATATGTGCTTATAACTATGTATTATATATGTGATCTGCAAGGGTTTCGATGAGACCGAAGTGGGGTTTTGTTACTGTTAGGAAGCTTTGTAATTGCCGAACAAAATAGGTGGAAAGAGCTTTGAGTGCTGTTGGTTTTGGCGCCCTATTGAAAGTACTATTTTGCCCTTTCCTATAATTTTAAAGCATTTAGTTTTTTAGGCTAATGACAAAATAAAAAGTCCCAGACCTTTTCTAAAAATCAAAATCAAGTAAATAATCGAGCCAACGTTTTCAATCTTTGAGTATATTTCTGTCTAATTAACTACTTTGATAAATTAATTTTTTTTCAAAATAATTACACATGACGAATTTATATAAATAAAAAAATTTAATCTTGAATGGTTTGAGTAATTGTTGAAATATAATATAGTTTAAATAATTTATATCAAATAAAATAAAATATTAAAAAGCCTTTGGATCATTTTTTTAGGCTATTATTAATTAAGGTTCTAATGTTACATTTTATATAAACTTTAATGGAATGTCATTTAATTAAATGAATTTTTAAGTAATTTTACATAATAAATTCAATTGATAATATTATATTACATTCCACTATGATTTACTAAATGTATAACTAAAGAGAAAAACATTTAGCAAATTATCAATTCTCCTTGTCCTTAATTCTTAAGGGTCCGATAGATTCAGTTGTTTATACCAACTAATAGTTAAAGAATACTGATATTTGATAAAATTTTAATAGTAATTACAACTAAAATGTACAATGACATTAAGATTATATAATTATAATTATATGAAAAATTTTAACGGATCCAACTATTAGCTTTGATTAAAAAACTTACCAAATATATATACAATTTAGCATTTGAATATGAATCAACTAGGCAAACCAAATGTTGTCAAAATAATATTTCAATAAAAAGAAAAAAAAAAAAAAAAAAAAAATATATAATACAATTTAGGGCAATTTGAATATGAATACAACTAGGCAAACCAAATTGTTGTAAAATAATAATATTTCCAATAAAAAGAAAAAAAAAAAAAAAAAAAAAAGCTACTATATAGACAAGCTCAATGCGGGAGTGTTATGTAAAAAAAAAAAAAAAAAAAAAAAAAAGCTACTATAAGACAAGTAATGCGGGATGTTTGTATTATCTCGTAAGTGTAGTTGCAGTTGGTGATCTAAACATCACGTTGTTCATATTTATATATTAAACGCATAAATAGCTCCCTATGGAACTCAGAATATCAAATTTTCAATCCCAGTCAAAATTTCAAATTCAATACATTTCCACATCAACCAAACCCTTCTATGCGGAAAAATTTAGCGAAAAAAAGAAAAGAAAAGAAAAAAAAAATCTGGAAGAGGTAAAGTTGGAATCTTTTTGAATTATGTGGATCAGACGCATACTGCAGAAGGAAGAAAAAAAAAACACAGAGAAGACATGTGCTTTCCAGATTTTCATTATGGAGATTGGAGAGGATACATAAGTGTGTGGAGTGTGAATTCCTTCACTTGTTCGCCATTAAATTTTATATATATATATAATTATTAGTGTCTTGGGCCTCTTGGTTTTGAGCAAATTGAGGTAATTTTGTTTTTTTAAATGAACCTTTGATCTGCATTTCTCAATACTTGATTGATTTAGAAGTTTTCTTTCTTTCTTTATTGAAAATTACTGTAGCATTTGAATGACATCATCGAAGTTTTGAAGACCAAAGCTTTATGGGATAATTTATAAAAGATAATTTATAATACACGTTATTGATAATATCTATTTATTGTTTATTACTATATAATAATATATATAGTATCACTAATCATTTTCAATGAGTTATTATAATTACACCTTAAAATAAACTTAACCCTATTTCATATTTATGTCACAATTACACCCTAATTTTAAAATTAGTCAAAATTGAGACTAAAAAAATAAATGTGGATCTCACATGATTTAGCTAAATGAAGTTCAGTTAGCTAACTCATAACATACAGTTTAAACATTATCAGACTGAGTTAATAATCATTTGAATAAAAAAAATATTATAGATGATTACTAACAACATCAGCAAGGAGACAACGGAAGAGGAGGGCAGTGAGTGAGTTTGGCTCTTGTAAAGCTCTGACCCGATTAAATATGGCCACAATATTGTAAAATAGAGGTAGTCTTTCCGGTGATTGTCGACACGTCGGTGGAACCAAGTCGGTTCTCAAGGGTGTCACGACCCGTTTTCATGCGCCGGGCCAGTACTAGGATCCAGATAAGCTTAAAGCCCCAAGGCCCATAGTAAACTTAAGCTGCCAAACCCATACACGCCACACAAGAATCTTACGAGCAGTAAGTCCATATAAATTTGTATATGTCTAATAATCATACAACCTTGGCCCAATCTCAAATATCTCGAGTAAAACTTAGCTCAGGCCTTATAATAATACACCTCATTCATAATATGGCTACTGATTTCTAATGCATTTAAATAAACAATAAAAACATTCATATGTTAGCACACTTGTTAAAGACCAAATTAAAGATACACAAATCCTACAACTGCGGAGTTCAACAATAGTTGGAAGTAATGGAGTTATACATATAACAGTACATAAATTAACTAATTGCAGAAATTAGGAATTTACTTTTATGGCCCTGCGGAGAAGATTGAAGAGCTTTAGTTGGTCGACGGGGTTCTACTTATTGACAAGTTAAGTAAAAGAAGAGTGAGTTTTATAATTCAGTGAATAATAATAAATAATGCATATCACAGGCATTCACGCGAAATGCACCCTAAGATACTTCAGTGAATAATAATAAATTTAATGCTATATCAAACAGGCATTTCACAGCGAAAATGCCACCCTAAGATACTAAAGTGAGCAACACAACCAGTTAAATTATATGGCAAACAATCAAGCACTCACAAGTACCAGTTAATTATATGGCACAACATCAGCACTCCACAAGTAAATTTCACCTTCAAATTTAATCAAAGCAAACTGGAAATTAGTCAGTGGCTGTCATGGTCCAGCCATGGTAAAGTATTGTCCGCTTTGGGGCCTTCCGTACCGAGGTTCACCCCTCAACGGTTTTGTCCCCTTTTGGGCCAAGGGAAACCTCCGCTCTACCAACCCAAAAGGCGCCTACCATGTTCTGAGACCACCCCTCTTTATGTATAAGGACTTATTCACCTTGGTGTGCGTAGCCGATGGTGGATTCCCGCCTAAGGTGTAGTGCCCCAACCTGGGATTGTCACATACACCGCCCCCTTAAGGGACTCTAGCGTACTCGCTGAGGTTTTTGCCCACCATCGACCAGAGGGACAAGGCATCTGGCTTCTGATACCCAATTGGTCATGGTCCAGCCCATGGTAAAGTAATGTCCGCTTTGGGCCCTTTTCGTACGGGTCCGGCCTGCACGTTTTTGGTCCCTTCTGGGCCAGGGGAAAGCCTCCGCTCTACGCACACCAAAAGGGCGCCTACCAATGTTCTGAGAACCACCCCTCTTTATGTGTTCTGAGACCACCCCTCTTTATGTATAGGACTTTCACCTTGTGCGTAGCCGATGTGGGATTCGCCTAAGGTGTAGTGCCCCAAACCTGGGATGTCACAGTGGCACTACTGAAAACCCCAACGAGCCGTCCTCTCATATGGCCAGCCCTCTCATATGGCCAACCCTCTCAAACGTATGCACTAAGGAGCCGATCCCCATACCTAGCCGACCAGTCTAATCCTCACTTGACCAGCTCTCTACCATATTCACTTTTTATATACTTTTTTTCCCTTTTCATATCAACAGGCGGCCACCT